AGACAGTGTTTCAACTCTCAGTAATGCCATAGTGATCGTTTGATATATGGACCTGCAGCGGAGTTTAGGCCCAGACACGGCTAGTGACGTCAGATTTAATGACTGGATAGTGTCATTGTGCTGTCAATGCTGCTGCTGGCCTGCCAAACCACTGATGCAGGTTTGCATGGTGTCTAGAAGAGGAGCCATCCTCACTTTAAGAAATACCAGAACGTCAGTGAGAAATCCAGAAGCACTCACTGTGAACAAATCCATTCTTTCCTTCGAGTCAAGACTACAGAGATAATTGGACTACATATAAGATGGAGCTTTTTGGCCTAAGCAGCACCTTCATGTTCTCAGCTAACACTCTCATAATGACTTTCTTCTCTCAAATGTGGTTTATTTTGTGAACATTTACACATTTGTGATGCAGCAGCATGAAAAAAGCCAGCTGTGCATTTATAATTACAGCCAAATAGCTTTCTGTTGAGTCATCAATGAATTCACTCATTGTCTCAACTATACAGCTCACTTTTTGTAGCACTTTGAGATGTTTTGTTAATCTTCATTTATTTATTACACACAAACTCAATATGCTTATCATAAAACATAACATAAAAACCCATGTAGACTCATTTAAGTTTTTTTTTTTTTTTAAATGACCATGTACAGCGCACATGCACACGCACGCACACAGTTATTCGGTGTAAGCCTGATGGACAGTTGACCTCGGGTCAGTGGGCAGTTTGTTCCAGAGGTCCACTGTAACTAGTCGTATTTCTATCCACTTACTGTAACTCACTTCTGCATAATTTTAAAAGATCTGCATTGCATCAGTTTTGCATGAAACAAAAACGCAGTCGAGCATTTCTGGTTGCTGCAGTGAACAAATAAACCCCAAACAAAAGGTGTGTACGGTTGAACAAAAACCCTAGAAACCCTTGGCAGCTCACCTCAGAGTTGGGCTGAGCCAAGTCAGGGAGGGACTAACACGGTCGGGTCAGCCAAGCCGCCTGCTGGTACAAGCAGCAGGCCGGCCCGGTGTGGTAGTGCCAAACTAGAGCCTGCAGCGGTTCCGCCTCAGCATTGACTGCAGCGCCCTGTGACTAAGCTTCTGTCTCGGGGGGTTAAATGTGCCAACGGCCCAGTGCCTTTGAAAAGTTGCCACTGTGGAGCAGCAGGGCCGAACGCTTCAGCTGCACACTTCCACTCTCGCTGGGACATCGTTACCTTTAAACAGCATGCTTCTAGCTGCTCGGCACACTGAAGCTGTTCTGCAGACTCTGATCTAACGTTTGTGTGTGAAGAGCAACTCGTGCTTCAGAAACCAGTTATCTCCCATTCAAGTCTCATCAAACAGACCAGAGAGGGAGGGGGGGGGAGAGAGACAGAGCGAGACAGAGACAGACAGAGAGACAGACACACAGACAGAGAGGGAGACAGAGACAGACAGAGAGGGAGACAGAGACAGA